GGTTTTCCATTCACAGCACTTTATAGAAAATATTGCTGTAGATGGACAGAGCTGGGAAGTGAAGAAATCTGTCCAAGGTCAGAAAGCATGTCAAGGACACAGCTGAAAAGAAAATGCAGGCACCCACTCATGCAAAGTAAAACCACCACCGTTCCTGTTCTGTACGTTGTGGCACATAAATAATCTGCTATTTTATTGCCACCAACAGGTGAAATATTTCCCATGTCCCACAAGGAAGAAAAAGGAGATTGCAGGTTCTTGCGAAGGGTGTTGGGCTTCTCACCTAGGGAGTACTTACCTTTCAGTCCCAGGTACAGACAAGTAAGGACACAACGGTTCATCATTTGGTAACTGCTTCTGTCAGCACAAGCCACAGGAAAGCATGCTGCAAGCAGTGTGCTCCAAGCACCTGGTACCATGGAACGACTGGTTGCCTCCCAGCACCACATGAAATGGGCTCCAAAGCAGCTCTCCCAGGAATACACTGATTTTCTCAATCTTTGCCAAGTTTCCACCACTCACTTCTCTACTGTTAATGTTTCCCTTGGAAGAAAACTGGCATTTTAAGATTTCATTTCCAAACAGACTATTTTACCAAGCAATTAGAAAATATAAGCTCTCTTCCACTTCAGGAACTATTTCTTTTGCAGATACCTGCTGCTTTGACACAAGTATGTTGTTGCTATACTAATTCAAAACCCTGTAAAAATGGTGATACAGCTCCAGCAAGAATTTGCAGCTGCAGGGCAGCCAACCAGTACTGCATTTCACCTCGGATTGGATTACCATTCATCTCTCAAAAACAGTAAAATTTGACATGTTCAGTGATTAAACCTGTATCTATGGCAACTCTCTGAAACCTCAGCAAATGTAAGTATCTGTTGGCTCATTCAGCAAGGGTCCCTTAAAGATCTTATGGTAACCTTGCAATTCCTCTCTTTGTGCTGAACTGGTTAGGGTTACAGTAAAAAAGGAGGTGTAAAAAACAAATACAAAGCAAAAATGGTGAGAACGAGTAATTTGTAACATTCTCTCCATCTCTCAGCAAGTATCCATGATAACAGAAAAATATTTTAAAATAATACCTAAAACAGACTGGCACCCGGTGCACTCGACTGAACACGCGGCATATGAGAAAACTGATGTGGACAACTTGACCATCTCCCTTCAAAAAAAGAAAAGATACAATATATAACCACACCATGCCTCTGTTATCCAGCATGCTCTCAACGGCTGGAGTGAACCCCAGTATTCGTATGGAGCTCAAATCCAATGATGATACTCCATACTGAAGAACAGTGAAAACAGAAATGCCAGGGTTGTAATTTTGTTAGTGACTGTTAATATGCATTGACATAAATCATTGCATATAAAAGCCTGATGATTCCCTGAAAAGAAATTCAACACAGACTACTATTAGACAAGCTTAAATGATTTTTCAGTAAAACTCCTTGGCTGTTTCACATCCATGGAAATAAGCGTTAAGGGTTCTCTGGGCTCATGTGTGCCACAGTCTGGTGGCAATGCAGATGAAGGCTGGGTGTGACAGCAGTGTTCAGAACATAAACTATGGCTGTACACATCGCCATCGCAGTGCCTCTGCATTTAAAGAGAGCTCAGCTGCACATTTCACTGGTCTCTTGAACCTTATGTTCTTATTACACTAAATCTGTATTAAACACCAAGAAAGCAGGCAGAGCACAACCAAAATGCCCAAATGCTCATGACTGGACTGTAGCTTGATTCTGCAGCTCATAAGAACTCCTGACAAGAGGCCTCACCATCTCCTCTTGCTGGGAATCTGCAGATTTGTAAAGCAACTCAGAGTTATGCTGCAGTACAAATAGTATTTAATTAGGATCTGTGTTAGCCATGACATTGCTAAATAGGTAACCAGCAAATAAACCCAGAATTATTTCTTTAAGTGAGGAAACAATAATAGTGTCTGTAAAATAATGAATGAGTCCAAGCACACCTTCAGAGCATGAAGCTGGCTCATCTCCCACGAGGACAGAGACGCCATCCCATAGACATCCTGTTGTTACAGAAGCTCTTCTATCACCAGGACCAAAAGTGTCTGGAGGAAAGTCAAAGGTTAAAAGGGGACCAACAGAAATAAAACAGCAGCAGGGGAGTTGAAAGAAGACTGGCACATTTTAAAGCAAGCAGACCAATTATGCAGGAAACCGCAGAGCCAACGGAGCTGCCTTGGCAACAGCCAGAGGTCACCCCTGCTGCCCGCTGCTGCGCCAAGCACAGGCCCAGGGGGTGCTGCAGGAGCTGAAGAGCAGATGAAGCATTAGAGCTTCAGGGTGTGCTTTAAGGGCAAGGAAGCAGGAAGTTCAGCCAGGAAAACTAAGCTAAGAATATGCTTTCTGAAGGCAGGTGAGGAAGAAATAAAGAAAGAAGCGGAGAAATGTGAGATAAGAGGTCACTAAGTATTCATACCAAAATACCACGGGCAACACATCTTCAATCCTCCTCATTAAGCCACTGAAAGAATGAAGTAGGAAGTCCTGGCCGCCTGCATTTTAGCTGGCATGTGATTTACCCTGCAGAAAACCTCTTTTAAAAGATATTGCAGAAGCTTTTTTTTTTTTTTTAACAAAGCCAGAAACCGACACTGACATCAGAGCCAGTGGCAGCAGAGTCATCTTGAGAGTATACAAGTCTGCAGTACCGAGAAAGACATTAATTTGAATTAACTATCAACTTCTACATCGCTGATAAACTTTGCAAATAAGTCCTTCTGTAGACACAAAGGTCAAGTCTGGATTAGAGGAGAATTTGCAATGTAAAATGTGGCTATACTGCTGACTTTTTTTTTTTTTTGAAGCATAGAGCTATACATAGAAAACAAAACCATGAGAAATAATGAAACAGGACGTGGCAGTATGAAGTACATGAGGTGGATGCCTTGTGTAAAGCCAGGATGAACAGAGCGGCAGAGGAAGATCCAGTTCATGAGAGACTTGGTAACAACAGCCAAGGAAATGAATGAAAATATGAAAATGAAAAATAAAATAAAATTAAACAGCCAACATGAATGAAAATAATCTAGAGGTATCTTTAACAAAGAGATGTATGTAATGAGGAAAAAACAGGGGTTTTTAACGATATTGAACTATTTCTCCTGTATCTGTGTTAAAAAATAATCTTGACATCTTTACTGAGCTATTTCTCACTGAAATTCTCACTGAGAGTCACAGAAATTCCATGTTACCCCAGCTAACAATACCGCAGTTAGCTCCAGTGGAGACTGATCTTAAACTACCCTTCACCGTTCAACCTAATTGAAATTCATCATTCTAATAAGCCCAGAGCACATCCAGCAGTTTCGATATAAAGTGCTATGGTTTTGAGGCAGACATAGGGAGCATGGCAAGGAAATACAAGAGCTCAATTTTAAATTGGCTAAAATAAAGTTTATTTTACTGTTACAATATATAATCTCTTATCAACACAACTCACAAAGTGTTTACAAAATAATCTCATCTTTTGCTGCATTTTAAACACTACTTTTATACAAACTATAAAGGTAAAATAGGAATTTGTAGCTAGAAATGTTTTTGTAACATTTTTAGAAGCATCACAAGAATTATTTCAAACGACTTTTTTTTTTTGCCTTCTTATGGCATAATCTTCACAGACAAAACTGAACATTTATTGTAAAGACCTGAGGAAGGATTCATGAAAGCTTTCTTTAGACAAAGGATGCCAGTCCTCGTAGGTTGACAGCAAGCAAATGCATTTGAGCTAACTTAGGTGCTCTGAAAACACCTTACAGAGGAATTGCCTCCCTTTCCCTCCCCTGACAATAGGGAAGGGTGGGAACCCGGCAGCTTTCACGAATCCCCACACTGAAGACCTGGTATGCAGCAAGACCATAACACACAAGCTCTGGTCCTCAATGCTGTGCAAGAGACCATGGAAATCTTAAACAGAAGAAAACTTGAAGTATTACAGTTGTCACACAACCTAGTATTTTAGTATGTTAAAATTAAAGTCACCTAATGTCCTCTGTGAATCTGGTAGTAACAGGCAAGTATTACATTACTCAACCCTGGTCTCCACTACAATACACTAATACACATTAGGAGGAATGGGAAAAAACTACCATTTCCACTGCTGCTAGAAAGATATGTGCTAAAATGAAAGGATTTATGTTCCTGCCAGTCAAGAGAGTTGACAAGTTTTACGTGACAGCAGAATCAGGCTGACAGTGATTATTTTACACACAGCAAGCAGGTAGAAAGAGGTGCTACTTGGTTTTTTTCATGCATAGTTTAACCAGCTTATAGCCAGCTCATCTCCATTAAGACTAGAGATGCATGATCCACCATTTGGTAAAAGCCAAAATACCAGCAAATATATTTCCAGTGCAAACAAAACTGTCTTTTTCTTTAAGAAAAACAACTAAATTTAATGCTACTTCTCAAAAACCAATGCTTATGATGTGTCATTTTCTACCTATTTTGGTCTACATTTCTGAAGTTCCCTTCCTCTACCCAAAACACATCCGAAGACAGATGATCACATTACACTTCATTTTTCAGGCAAATGACTGTCTCCTCCCCAGAATAAATTATACTGCCTACTGAAGATCATCCCTGAGAGCACTGTTCTAGCTAAACACTTAGCAAGTAAGCAGTATCTTGTAGCTTAGAGGGAAAAAAGGCTGTTCACCCTGGGAGATCTTGTGGTTTTAGAAAGTAAAAAAATGCAGCTAGTCTGAGCATTTAAATTCCCTGAGCTGAGTGAAATTTGAAGACGGTAATTTGTAACACAAAGCATAGCAACATCTATAGCTGTACTTACAGAAGCTGTAATTTTTTACAGTGGTAAAGTCGGATGTTAAATTACAAGCATACAGCAGTTAGCGGTGGTTCCTTTTACTTGCTTCCTGTCACAGCAAACACGATGGCCTTCTTTGGTGAAAAACAGCAGTGAAGAAGCTTGATGACTTTGGATTCTTTTACCTTCTGATATTGCAGCAATTTTTAAGTCAGAGTTAGCGGAGATACTACCAGGCCATAGTGCAGTACAAGTAAACCATCCTAGAAAGAAAAGAAAGAAACCACATCACCACACCACTTCTTCACCTTCTCCATGAGGCATTTCTGTCACTGCCTGCTGTGACAGTCACTGTGTGGCGGAACCTCAGCTTCAATCTCACTCACCCTTTTATATCCGTCCCTACTGTACGGTGAATAAAAGTTTTGAAATATCAAGGCAAATAACTATATCCTCCCTTTCCTCTTTGAGATGGAGAAGGCCATTTAAGTAAAAATATCTAGTACTTTGCTTCTATTTTAAAGTTATAATGGAATTAATAGTTTCTTCATATAATAGGCTCTCGTTTACAGCTCATGCTGCTTTCCACATGACACTGTGAGGCACTAAAAAAACCTAAAATAAAACTTAAGCAGTTCTAGAAGGTGCTGTCAAAAGCTGTACTGGAAGAGCCCAGACTACTACTGTATTTATTAAGTAGCAAATACAAAGGATAAAACAAACAACAAATGTTAGTTTATTAAGTTTCTCCTCTTCTGAGAGCTGCTCTACAGAATAAAAAAACTTCCACCTGTGAAACAGGCCACTTCCTGACTCATGAGTCTTACTCATGTCACTTAATTCACACACAGCTGGTGAAAAGTCTAACACTTAGTCTGCTTCCAACACTGACCCACTAGGAATCTGAGTTGTTATATGGACAGGCTTTAATAGAAGTTTTCTTTTGAAGAGAATGGCATTAATCACAACTGACATGTTAGAACTTCTACCATATTTTGCTTCTGATGTTTTTGTCTATTAACATACAGGACCCAAGATAACGTATACTCCAGAGGAGTTACACAGTTCTCTGCAAGGGGGTATACCAGCACATTAAAAAAAGTCTTTAATTAAAAAGTTAATTACAAAAATAATAGTAACAAGACTGTCAGCACTTTACATGTTTTGTATCGTAATACACTAACAGTAGAAAATACTATGTTAGTCTAATCACAGTGTTTTGGATGAATATATGTTTTAAAACTATAATTTGTTATCTATTCAAGTATTATACATTTGTATATATGTTCAGCTGCTTTTTCTAGACACTGCACTTAAAAGGAAATCCAAACAGAGAATGAGTTCTCACTGCTTACTACAAATCTCGAAACAGATGCACTCAGACAAGCCCAAAAGCAAAATGAAATACAATCCCCTCTCACAGCAAAACTCTCCAGTGTTCTTTGCCACACATTTGTGAACCAGACCTAAATAAAATGGAAAGGATCCCACCTGTTACATCCAACTATAAACTTTAGCCTGGAACTGACAGAAACTTAACAGTATTTGATGCATTTGATTTTACACTTTTTGATGTCGTAAGACCAGCAGCAACAGCAGAAAGTGCCCCACTTTCCAAATTCAATATCCCCACAGCAAACACTTCCATAGCAGATGTGTGCTAGAGGGTCAGAGTCATTAAATTAGGTCACAGCTTTTACTGCCTAGCTCAGGAGACACCAAAAAATACAGTGGCATTGGGTTACAAAAAGGTGCGAGTTACAAAGAGAGCATTATAATCTGCAAGACCTCTGTGCCAAGGGCCAGGGACATAAATGAAGCTCCTCTTTTTAGCTTTTCCCATGTGTGTGCTCATTACAACCATCAGTGATGCAAAGCTCCCAGGCGGCCAGTTTCAGACACGGGAAAACAGCAAGCAGCTTGGATCATGTTGCAGTTGTGCAGCAGAGGGGAGGAAGGCAATACAGAGAAGAAATTATATTCCTATATAGTTAATAACAAGCTTCCTTCCTCAGCTACTTGAAACTCTTAATAACAGGCAGATCTCAATGCTTGAAACAAAATTGAGCCTTTAAAAAAGAACTCTATCAGTGTCTTTGATCTCTCCTTGCAGTAAATTCCACAAGTTTTACACTGTTTTAAAAATTAAGCAATGTTGCTTCTTTCTGTATAAATTCTGTGTAGCATTTTTTTGTTTTGTCCTAAACAGAGCTAGAAATACTATTTCCAGCTAATTAGAAAGATTCAACCAAGCACCCAATTTCAGAAATGTTAAAATATCTTCAGATCTACACGATTAAACAAGATTTATTCCTGATTTTTTGTTAACCTTGCTATCAACTACTCAGAAACTAACATGTTAATTGTTTACATTCAACCACTAAACCTAGTGTTTTTTACTATTTATTCCAATTACAACAACCCAAACAGGTTATTATGGGGCCAGTATCAGGAATATTTATTTTACCATCAGACCATACTTGATCTTCCCACACTTGTTGGAAAGGCACATAGTTATTCAGAACAGCTAAAACCCTGCTAGCTTGCACCTATAGGAGAATTTAATTTACTGAGGCTCTAGGCCATCACTACACATTGTTACTCAGTAGGAAAAAAAGCCCAATACCCAAAATCTTGACAAAACAATCTGGAGCATTTAAGAATCACTCAGGAGGAGTGAAAGGCCCTAAAAAATTAGTGATTATGGCCCAGAAAAATAAATCACACATAACATATGTTATGCTGCATTGTACTGGAAGACACTTCCAACATAAATGGTGCCAAAGAATGCATGTTAAAATCAATGCCTTTGGCAAAGAGAAACTTATCTACATTTTTAAAATCACTTTTCTCAGCAAGAAGAATAACTGCTGATGTGAATGAACTTGCAAATGAAAAATGTGACTCGGAAAAGCAGTTATTTTTCTCCTCTAACACTGACTGTACTCATTTAAATAAAAAACCCCCAATGTTTAATCTTTTAAATGACTTTATTGTGTAAGTAGCTAATTAAGCCATTTTCTCAGCATGAAGTCTCACTGGGCCAGGACAATCATGCCCTTCATTGCACTTCAGGTCTTGGTGAAAAAGAAACAATCATTTTTAGACTTCATCTACTAATCTTTTTTTTTTCCTATCTAAAAACATTTTCTTTTTTTTAATTCTATAAATGCATCCCCTTGAATTCTACAAAATGATATAATGTGAGACTATAAAACATGAAAATGTCACAATTATTTCTGTATCAAAAAAGAGGCAACTGTGGTTTAATTGCAATATTCCTACTGTAACTATTTGGAATCCTAGGAAGTTTTGTAAAAAAATGAAGAAAAATTAAGGAACTGGTCTTTCAAATACCCTGGGCAAAAGTAACTAGGAAAACACAAGACTTCCCAAAAAGCAAAGATCTTTGTCTCTTTGTCTGCCCAGTAGAGCAGGCTTGTGAGAATTCATCACTAGCATACTGATTTTGTAATAATGAGACTTGAAACATCACTGGAGAACGTATTCTGAGACAAGTGCTCTCGTTGTGGAGCTGCTGACTGGTAGTTAGCCACTAGATGTCAATCAGGCAAACTCAATTCTGACAAGAAATGAGACACTCAACTTCACCTAGGCAGATCCACATCTGACAAGAAATGAAACTGATGCAGTTTTCCTTAAAGTGCTTCCCCAAGAGCATTTTTCATACATGAAAAGCTTTTGTGCCAAGATGAAGTCTAAAAGCTTGTACATTTGACTGTCCCCCTGGAATGAGAAATAAATCATCCCCCTGCTATTTACTGAAGCTTTTAGTAGAGGGCACTTCCATCACTGTGTGTTGACCGCTGCATTAACCTACAATGAACTCATTACATTAGAAGCAAGTTTGTTACTAGTGCTGCTTCCTCCTAGTTTCTATCACCTGCTCTCCAAAGCAGCTGAAGTTACATTTTCATTTTTTCTTATATTATTATATAAACAGCTAAGACATCAAGCATGGCATTTATTCCCTTTGACTGTAGAAACTGAGGTACACACCACAAGCCTAAGAAGATTTTTAACGTTTGCCACACTAGCACAAGCCACAGACGTCTGCCCTGACTGTGGGATCCCTCCTAGTTACTCAAATCAGGTATGGGTGATGCAATGTCCAAGATACCTCGAAATCAGCTTTCCACTTCTTGCCACTGACACAGAAGCCCTCTTGTAGCACAAAAGAGCTCAGCAGGA